ACAGAATCGTTACTTAGGGACACAGAATTGTTACTCAGGGACAGACACAGAATTGTTACTCAGGGACAGACACAGAATTTTTACTGAGGGACACAGAATTGTTACTGAGGGACAGACACAGAATTTTTACTGAGGGACACAGAATTGTTACTGAGGGACATAGAATTGTTACTGAGGGACACAGAATTGTTACTGAGGGACACAGAATTGTTACTGAGGGACACAGAATTGTTACTGAGGGACACAGAATTGTTACTCAGGGACAGACACAGAATTGTTACTCAGGACAGACACAGAATTGTTACTCAGGGACAGACACAGAATTGTTACTCAGGGACAGACACAGAATTGTTACTGAGGGACACAGAATTGTTACTGAGGGACACAGAATTGTTACTCAGGACAGACACAGAATTGTTACTCAGGGACAGACACAGAATTGTTACTGAGGGACACAGAATTGTTACTGAGGGACACAGAATTGTTACTGAGTTACTGAGGGACACAGAATTGTTACTGAGGGACACAGAATTGTTACTCAGGGACAGACACAGAATTGTTACTCAGGGACAGACACAGAATTGTTACTCAGGGACAGACACAGAATTGTTACTCAGGGACAGACACAGAATTGTTACTGAGGGACACAGAATTGTTACTGAGGGACACAGAATTGTTACTGAGGGACACAGAATTGTTACTGAGGGACACAGAATTGTTACTCAGGGACACAGAATTGTTACTCAGGGACAGACACAGAATTGTTACTGAGGGACACAGAATCGTTACTGAGAGACACAGAATTGTTACTCAGGGACACAGAATTGTTACTCAGGACAGGGACAGAATTGTTACTCAGGGACACAGAATCGTTGAATTAAAGAGTATGTCAGACAACACGCAGAGGAGTGGCAGAGGAGGCAATGTTTTCAGGAGCGAGCAGACGTGGCAGCAGAGGAAGGGGTCGAGGCAGCACTAGTCGCAGCCAGAGGCCAGTGCTCCCGGTGTCATCCAGCGGTCGTGTCTCCACCGACAACCCTGCCGTCATCGATTGGTTGGCTCGGTCGTCTTCCTCTTCCCAGGTCACCTCTGACACCTACAGCCAACGGTCGGTGGGTACGTCAGACACAACCGTTAGTTGGCATGGCCCGGGAGCAAGCCCACTGAAATCACGTGTCCTCTACCTGCCCCTGTCCTTTGGTGTTCCCTCACCAAGCGAAGTATCGCATGCTGTGGGCTCAGCCCCACTGTACAGTGAGGAAGAGCTAACAGAGGGCGGTCAGGAACGGGGGGAGACATCCGCCTCTTCAGCAGCCAGGCGAAGAAGTACTGGCGAGGAGAGTGGCTCGGTAGCCGGTCTAGAGACAGGTCTGTCTCCTGACCCACACGCAGCCGAGGGGGCTAGTAGTGAGGCGGAGACCCTAATTGATGATGATGAGGCTGATCGCACTTGGCAGCCTCGTCGTCATCAGGCTATTGCTTCCGCATCATCAGGAGAAGAGGGTGCCAGCTTGGCAGCGAGCAAAACAGTCGGTGGGTTGCCCAGGAGGCAGCAGGGTCGCAGCAGTGTCAGTGGAGGCAAACGGCCACGGAGTAGAGCACCAGCTCCACTGCAGCCTACCACCACGGCCAGTAGTGGTGCCGGTGTGCACGGAGGAAGTAGCAGTCAGCCAGTGAGGAGTAGCGGGGGCAAAGTTTCCTACTCGGCGGTGTGGCAATTTTTCGTCAAGCCGCCCGAGGAAGTAAACGTAGCCGTATGTCGACTATGTGGCCAGAAAGTCAAGCGTGGCCAGGGGGCCCATGTTGGGACTACAGCGTTGCGTCAGCATATGCAGCGTCGCCATTTCGGTGGCCTGGGAAAACCGTGATAAAGATACGGCGGTTCTGCCTGCCCCAGCCCCCGCTCCATCACCCGCTCCGTTACTTGCTCCGTCACCCGACGTCAATCGCCCTCTATCAGCCAGTCAAGGCTCCAACACCTCTGCTGAGGGGAGTTGTCGCTCGTTGGCATCTTCCGCTCGTTCAGATGCTCCTTCTCCTGCTACTCCTCTTCACGGATTCCGTCAGCAGTCTTTCTTGGAATCCGTTTCCAAGAGACAACAGTTTGCGAGCACGCACCCGACGGTGCAAAGCTGAACGTCCTCCTGTCCAAGTTGCTGGTGCTGCAGTCCCTCCCTTTCCAAGTGGTGGACTCAGCACCTTTCCGAGAAATGATGGCTTGTGCCGCGCCGCGGTGGAGAGTGCCAAGCCGGCATTTCTTCGCCAAAAAGGCAGTGCCAGCCCTGCATTCACATGTAAAGAGATGGTGGGCCAGTCTTTGAGCATGTCGGTCTCTGCCAAAGTGCACGGCAGCGCCGACGTGTGGAGCTGTAACTACGGTCAGGGACAGTACATGTCATTTACGGCCCACTGGGTGAACGTGGTGCCGGCACAGCCGCACCAGCAACTTGGACAGGTCACGCCGCTTTTGCCTCCACGTTTGCACGTCCTTGGTCCAGCAAAGATGTCCGCCTCTACCACCTCTTCTTCCGCCGTGTCCTCAGCCGCCACCCCCCCCCCGTGCCAAGTCCCCCATTACCGACCGGCATATCACATGTGCAGGGCGCAACGGTGTCACGCTGCTGTGCTGCACCTGGTATGCCTTTGGCGAACGTAGTCACACAGGGGAGGAACTTCTGAGTGTAATGAACAGAGAAATCGACAGATGGCTGTCTCCGCGCAAACTGAAAATCGGAACCATGTTGACCGACAACGGAAAGAACATGGTGTCTGCTCTCTGCGTCAAGGAAGGTTGTGCCATGCGCCATGCATGGCTCACGTGTTCAATCTGGTTGTCAAGCGGTTCCTAAAATCCACCATCCCACTGCAAGACATCCTTAAAATGTCACGTAAACTTTGCATGCATTTCAGCCATTCCTACACCGCAAAGCACACCCTCCTTGAGCTGCAGCGGCAGAACGGAATTCCACAGCATCGCCTGATCTGCGACGTTGCAACAAGGTGGAATTCAACCCTACACATATGTTAGACCGCCTTTACGAACAGCGAAAGGCCATCACCGATTTCCTGATGTTACAAGCGGATAAAGGTACTCCCCTGTGTAACTTAGATGTCAGCCATTGGCAGCTCATGCGTGACACCTGCCGCTTGCTCAGGCCCTTTGAGGAGGCCACGCTATTCGTGAGTCGGCAGGACTATGGGATGAACGACGTCATTCCTCTGTTGCACGTCCTGGAACAAATGCTGTTAACAATGGCTGGTCAGGGTGCGGTAGACGTGGCGCACAGATCTCAACGCCACATGACCCCTGTGGGGGCAGGACAGGAAGAAGAGGAGGAGGTAGAGGAGGACATTGGTGCTCAGGAATTATTGAGTGAAATGGGTGGTTTTTCCACTCAGCGGACAGGAGTGGAGGAGCAGGAGCATCTGGTAGAGGAGGAGGGAGGAGACAGAGGACCCAGACGCACCGTGGCAGTATGCTGTGGAGATGGAGGCAGGGAGTCCCTCGCATTCCTTGGCACAAATGGCCCATAGCATGCTCGGTTGCTTGCGTAGCGACAGCCGAATAATAACCATCAGACAGAGGGATGACTTTTGGCTGTCCACCTTGTTGGACCCTCGCTACCGTTCAAAAATGGTGGCCTTTTTTCACACCTGCTGAGAGGGAGGCCAAAATAACGTACTATAAAAACCACCTATGTAGTCAGTTGGTCTCTGCCTTTCTGCGCCAACGTCCATCCTCAGACACTGTGGGCCCTGTGCGCTCGCGTTCCGCTGCCATGGCAGCAGGGGAGGGGTGGGGTGGTAGGAGCAGTGGCAGCTCCACCAGCAGCGGCTGCCTCAGTCTGCAGTCGATGATGAGTAGCTTTCTTCACCAGCGCAGTGAGGAAACTACTAACCAGCCGCAGCAGCAGCATCAGGTGGACCTGGAGCAGGACCTCAAACAACAGGCTTGGGCCTACTTGGACAGCACCCTGCCAACCGAGGTAGACAATCCCCTTGACTACTGGGCAACGAAACTTGACCTTTGGCCCCAACTAGCTGAATTTGCCCTTGAAAGGCTGTCATGCCCGGCCAGTAGCGTGGCATCGGAGCGCGTGTTTAGTGCGGCAGGAGGTATTGTAACTCCGCGGAGGACACGACTGTCCACCCAAAGTGTGGAGAGACTCACGTTTGTGAAAATGAATCAGGCGTGGATTAGTCTGGATTTCAAACCACCAGTTCCTGACAAACTGACTAAATCCGCCATCAATCATGCCCCAAACATCCTCACACTGCTGGTGTTATTTTTTAACATAGGCCTCTGTATGGCCTTCAATTTAAGCTGCTGCCAGGCGCCTAATCTGCCATGGGCCCCTGTACCGCCTCCTCTTGCTGCTGCCAGGTCCAGAGTGTCTCATGGGTCCCTGTACGGCCTCCCATTGCTGCTGTCTCCATCGCCACACACTCTGCCATGTGCCACTTTCAGGTCTCCTCACACTGCTGGTGGGTTCCATTTTGTCATAGGGTGCTGGCAGATTACGGGCCTCCCATTGCTGCTGCCAGGCCCGTAATCTGCCATGGGCCCCTGTACCGCCTCCTCATGCTGCTGCCAGGTCCAGAGTCTCTCATGGGTCCCTGTACGGCCTCCCATTGCTGCTGTCTCCATCGCCACACTCTGCCATGTGCCACTTTCAGGTCTCCTCACACTGCTGGTGTGTTCCATTTTTGTCATAGGGTGCTGGCAGATTACGGGCCTCCCATTGCTGCTGCCAGGCCCGTAATCTGCCATGGGCCCCTGTACCGCCTCCTCATGCTGCTGCCAGGTCCAGAGTGTGTCATGGGTCCCTGTACGGCCTCCCATTGCTGCTGTCTCCATCGCCACACTCTGCCATGTGCCACTTTCAGGTCTCCTCACACTGCTGGTGGGTTCCCATTTTGTCATAGGGTGCTGGCAGATTACGGGCCTCCCATTGCTGCTGCCAGGCCCGTAATCTGCCATGGGCCCCTGTACCGCCTCCTCATGCTGCTGCCAGGTCCAGAGTGTCTCATGGGTCCCTGTACGGCCTCCCATTGCTGCTGTCTCCATCGCCACACTCTGCCATGTGCCACTTTCAGGTCTCCTCACACACTGCTGGTGGGTTCCATTTTTTGTCATAGGGTGCTGGCAGATTACGGGCCTCCCATTGCTGCTGCCAGGCCCGTAATCTGCCATGGCCCCTGCCAATACCGCCTCCTCATGCTGCTGCCAGGTCCAGAGTGTGTCTCATGGGTCCCTGTACGGCCTCCCATTGCTGCTGTCTCCATCGCCACACTCTGCCATGTGCCACTTTCAGGTCTCCTCACACTGCTGGTGGGTTCCATTTTGTCATAGGGTGCTGGCAGATTACGGGCCTCCCATAGCTGCTGCTGCCAGGCCCGTAATCTGCCCATGGGCCCCCGTACCGCCTCCTCATGCTGCTGCCAGGTCCCGGTCTGCCATGTCTGTCATGGGTCCCTGTACGGCCTCCCATTGCTGCTGTCTCCATCGCCACACTCTGCTGCATGTGCCACTTTCAGGTGTCTCCTCACACTGCTGGTGCTGCCAGTTCCATTTTGTCATAGGTCCTGGCTGTACGGCCTCCCATTGCTGCTGCCAGGCCCGTCTAATTCATGGGCCCTCTACACACCGGTGTGGTTCCATTTTGTCATAGGGTGCTGCTGCCTCCCATGCTGCTGCCAGGCCCGTAATCTGCCATGGGCCCCTGTACCGCCTCCTCATGCTGCTGCCAGGTCCAGAGTGTGTCATGGGTCCCTGTACGGCCTCCCATTGCTGCTGTCTCCATCGCCACACTCTGCCATGTGCCACTTTCAGGTCTCCTCACACTGCTGGTGGGTTCCATTTTTTGTCATAGGGTGCTGGCAGATTACGGCCTCCCATTGCTGCTGCCAGGCCCCTAATCTGCCATGGGCCCCTGTACCGCCTCCTCATGCTGCTGCCAGGTCCAGAGTGTGTCATGGGTCCCCTGTACGGCCTCCCATTGCTGCTGTCTCCATCGCCACACTCTGCCATGTGCCACTTTCAGGTCTCCTCACACTGCTGGTGGTTCCATTTTTTTGTCATAGGGTGCTGGCAGATTACGGGCCTCCCATTGCTGCTGCCAGGCCCGTAATCTGCCATGGGCCCCCGTACCGACTCCTCATGCTGCTGCCAGGCCCGTAATCTGTCATGGGCCCCTGTTACCGCCTCCTCATGCTGCTGCCAGGTCCAGAGTGTGTCATGGGTCCCTGTACGGCCTCCCATTGCTGCTGTCTCCATCGCCACACTCTGCCATGTGCCACTTTCAGGTCTCCTCACACTGCTGGTGGTGGGTTCCATTTTTTGTCATAGGGTGCTGGCAGATTACGGGCCTCCCATTGCTGCTGCCAGGCCCGTAATCTGCCATGGGCCCCTGTACCGCCTCCTCATGCTGCTGCCAGGTCCGAGTGTGTCATGGGTCCCTGTACGGCCTCCCATTGCTGCTGTCTCCATCGCCACACTCTGCCATGTGCCACTTTCAGGTCTCCTCACACTGCTGGTGGGTTCCATTTTGTCATAGGGTGCTGGCAGATTACGGGCCTCCCATTGCTGCTGCCACCACGGCCCGTAATCTGTCATGGGCCCCTGTACCACCTCCTCATGCTACTGCCAGGTCCAGAGTGTGTCATGGGTCCCTGTACGGCCTCCCATTGCTGCTGTCTCCATCGCCAACTCTGCCATGTGCCACTTTCAGGTCTCCTCACACTGCTGGTGGGTTCCATTTTGTCATAGGGTGCTGGCAGATTACGGGCCTCCCATTGCTGCTGCCAGGCCCGTAATCTGCCATGGGCCCCGTACCGACTCCTCATGCTGCTGCCAGGCCCGTAATCTGTCATGGGCCCCTGTACGGCCTCCTCATGCTGCTGCCAGGTCCAGAGTGTGTCATGGGTCCCTGTACGGCCTCCCATTGCTGCTGTCTCCCATCGCCACACTCTGCCATGTGCCACTTTCAGGTCTCCTCACACTGCTGGCTGGGTTTCCATTTTGTCATAGGGTGCTGGCAGATTACGGGCCTCCATTGCTGCTGCCAGGCCCGTAATCTGTCATGGGCCCCCGTACCCTCCTTCATGCTGCGCCAGGCCCGTAATCTGTCATGGGTCCCCCTGTACCGCCTCATCATGCTGCCAGGTCCAGAGTGTGTCATGGGTCCCTGTACGGCCTCCCATTGCTGCTGTCTCCATCGCCACACACTCTGCCATGTGCCACTTTCAGGTCTCCTCACACTGCTGGTGGGTTCCATTTTGTCATAGGGTGCTGGCAGATTACGGGCCTCCCATTGCTGCTGCCAGGCCCGTAATCTGTCATGGGCCCCTGTACCGCCTCCCATGCTGCTGCCAGGTCCAGAGTGTGTCATGGGTCCCTGTACGGCCTCCCATTGCTGCTGTCTCCATCGCCACACTCTGCCATGTGCCACTTTCAGGTCTCCTCACACTGCTGGTGGGTTCCATTTTGTCATAGGGTGCTGGCAGATTAACGGGCCTCCCATTGCTGCTGCCAGGCCCGTAATCTGCCATGGGCCCCCGTACCGACTCCTCATGCTGCTGCCAGGTCCAGAGTGTGTCATGGGTCCCTGTACGGCCTCCCATTGCTGCTGTCTCCATCGCCACACTCTGCCATGTGCCACTTTCAGGTCTCCTTTCCATTTTTTCATAGGGTGCTGTATGGCCTCCCATTGCTGCTGCCTCCACCGCCACACTGTGGCTCCACACTCTGGTTTTGGCCCCGTGACTGCCCAAATGAGTGAAGTGTGCGGTGATTCTAAGATCGACGGCACTCATCTGCATGTCATACTGACTGACATGATTATTTCTCTTCCCCAGCAGACTCCAAGGGCATTTAAACTAAAGGTACAGTGTTCTGCACTAATATAAAGGCTCTCTGAAGCCTAGAAACACCCTTTTTATAAGTTAAATTCGCAGCGAATATATTCGACTCGAATCAAATTTATTCCACGAATTTGCCGAATCAACCGAATCGAATTTTTGAATAATTCGCTCATCTCTACCTAGCACCAAACCCCCCCAAATGACCAATTTTTGGAAAGTAGACACCCCAAGGAATTTGATAAGAAGCATGGTGAGTATTTTTCAGATCTCGTTTGTTGCCACAAGTTTTTGGAAAATGAAGAAAGAAAACAAAAACATATTTTTTCTTTTCTTTTTTTATATTTCAAAACTTTGCGAGAAAAAATGAGATCTGCAAAATGCTTACCATGCCTCTTTTTAAATTCCTTGGAGTGTCAACTTTCCAAAAAAGGGTCATTTGTGGGAGGGGGGGTGTGCTATCCTGGCATGTCAGGGCCTTCAAAAACTGTGATAGGTAGTGAGGAAGTAAAATGAAGAATTTACGCACTTTCAGGTTTTCAAAGTGGTCATTGGATTTCAGGCTCCTGTATGTGGCTAGGCTCCCAAAAAGTCTCACACATGTGGTATCCTCATACTCGGTAGAAGTAGCAGAATGTATTCTGGGGTGTGATTCCACATATACCCATGGCTTGTGCGAGAAATAAATCATTTAAATGACAACTTTGTGTAAAAAAAAAAAATGTTTTTGTAATTTTCCAGAAACGTGTGGAAAAAAAAATAAATCTTCCATGGACACTATATGCCTCTCAGCAGATAGCTTAGGGTGCCTACTTTCCGAAAAGGGGTCATTTGGGGGTGTTTGTTCTATCCTGGTATTTTAGCACTTCAAGAAATGTGATGGGCAGTCAGAAAGTAAAAACTGTGTAAATTTCAAATTATCTATACCATAGTTTGTAGATGCTATAACTTTCACACAAAGCAATCAATATACACTTATTGGGATTTTTTTTACCAAAAACATGTAGCAGAATACATTTTGGCCTAAATTTAGGACGAAATTTTAGATTTTTGGATATTTTTCATGATGGAAATGAAAAATTATTGGGTTTTTTTTTTCAAAATTTTGGGGTTTTTTTTGTTTATAGTGCAAAAAATAAAAAGCGCACAGGTGATCAAATACCACCAAAAGAAAGCTCTATTTGTGTGAAAGAAACATCATAAATTTTGTTTGGGTGCAGCTTTGCATGACCACGTAATTGTCATTTAAACTAGTGCAGCGCTATGCGCTATATAGCAACAAATGGGATAAATTACACTATCTATACCATAGTTTGTAGACACTATAACTTTCGCACAAAGCAATCAATATACACTTCTTGGGATTTTTTTTACCAAAAACATGTAGCAGAATACATTTTGGCTTAAATTTCTGACTAACTTTGAGTTTACAATATATTTTTTTATAGCTGAAAGTAGAAAATATCATTTTTTTTCAAAATTTTCATGTTTTTTTTTGTTTATAGCGCAAAAAATAAAAAGCGCACACAGGTGATCAAATACCACCAAAAGAAAGCTCTATTTGTGTGAAAAAAAGGACGTAAATTTCATTTATGTACAGGATTGCATGACTGCGGAATTGTCAGTTAAACTAGTGCAGTGCTGTATAGCAAAAAAAAGGCATAAATGACAGTATCTATACCATAGTTAGAATAGAAAATATTGTTTTTTTTCAAAAGTTTGGTGTTTTTTTTCACACACATAGGGCTTTCTTTTGGTGGTATTATATCACCTGTGCGCTTTTTATTTTTTGCGCTATAAACAAAAAAAAGGACATACATTTTGTTTGGGTACAGAATTGTATGACCGCGCAATTATCAGTTGAATTAGTGGAGCGCCAAACAGCAAAAAAAAGGCTTGGTCATTAAGGGGGGTAAATCCTCAGGAGCTCAAGTGGTTAATAGAGTGATCATTGCTAATATAAAGCACTGATGCTGTACTAATGACACTTGGCAGAAAGGGTTAACATCTGGGGCGATCAAATGGTTAACTGTGTGCTGCTTTACTATGTGTGCTGTGTATGTTTTATTTGGGAAACATGCTGCTGTGCATTTCTCTGCTGTGCAGAGAAATACACAGCAGCATGTTATTGCTGGCAACAAAAAGACCTGTGTGTTCACATACAGGTCTCTAGCCTGTCAGTGTTACTTGGCAATTGCCAGGTGCTGATGGAGAATCTGTGTCCGGGACTCGGTGAATGACATCCGTAGCCGCTAATGGTGGTATGTGCGGCATGTGTGCACCCCCTACCCGGAAATGCAAATCACGTACTGTATATATACGTGACTGTGCACAGCCCTGTAGCAGTATTTCTGCTAAAGGGCGGAGCGAAACTGGTTAAATATTTCCACGGTTTCCTTTCCTCCTTAGCCAAACAAGTACTGTATTTAATCAATGCAGTGTGGGGGATGGTGTGTTCCCCACTGCATAAGTAAATTTATCAAAAGCCCACATTGGGGCTTTACATTTATTTTCAATATTGACTCTTACCTGTTATATAGGATACAGGGAGCAGACAAGTTTTAAAAATATACAGCTGTATATAAAATCTTTCGTTAGACTAAAAGATAACCCATCACCTAAAAGAAAAAAACCTGGACATTTGGCAATTCACTAATTAGACAAAGTAAACTTTTTTTTCTGCTGAGTCTGTCAGTGTCTGGATCAGTGTTACTGTGGAATAATAAATTCACTCTGATTGGTGCCATATTGAATAATACTCTGCAATGTCCAGACACAGATCATTGACAGGAGAAGCGACACTATGTAAGTTCAATGAAACCGGCAGGCTGCTTTCTGCCAAAGTATCAAAAATATAAATATAAATTCCGAAAAGCTCTGATTTTCCGCTGTTGATTACGTGGCAATGTGTTTAAAATAAAAAGCCTTTTCTGCAGTGTCTCCTCCTTTTGTAAAACTCTGTGATCTTGCCTCACATGTGACAGCGATAATTCTATGCAGGCCACAAGCAAACTGGTGTAATAATGAAGAACATTTTTCATGAATAGTGAATACGATTATTAGCCTGCTTTTAAGAACAGATGTTGAAAACTGTAATGCATTAGCAAATTGTTACTGCCTACACTGCCTAACACATATTTGACTTTGTCGCTAACCCTCCTGTGTAAATGGTAAATAATTAGACATTTTATAAGCACTGTGTTTAATAAATTGCTAATTGTGAAAATTCATACATTGGCACTAAAAGTGACTCAAAAAATCTCTAAAAGTGAAGATTTGTTAAGTTGTGAGAAACATCTAACATTGTTAATTGTCCTTAAAACGTATCTTCACCCTCAGGAAAGAAATCTCTCCTATCCACCCCTCCTCCCCTTCACTGCCAGAATAGGGCTGTCTTTTTTGTTTGTTCGTTTAATCTTTGTAAAAAAAAAAGTGCTACCCTGCCTCTTCTTGCATTTATTTTTCAAGGTGAATGACGTGCACTGTCCTCCCTTTGCTTCCTGGGATATGCAGGTCACATATCCCAGGAGGCACACAGCGCTTCATTCAGAAGGGAGGAGAGGGGTGTGCCTAGTTCTGCATGATCTGGAGGTGTGCTGGCTGAACCAGGAAGAGCTGGCACACCTCTTGCTGATGTCACAATCAACATAGTGGCATGGAACCAAGATGTGGCGGAATACAAGAGAATCTCAGCGGGACAATGCTGGATCCCCTGGGTGGGTGAGAAGCAGAAATATGCAGAATGGACCACCCTGTAAGCGGGGGGAGGCAAAGGTGAGGTGGGTGAAGATCCTATTTGAGCAGTACCCTAAAAAGATTTTTTTTATAGGAATGCCTCCTTAAAATTAGTAGTGCACTTCTTTGTATGTGAGTGTACCTAGGCACCCCTGTGCATCCCACCTTAGCTGTACACTGCTGTGTGGGATTTAAGGCACTACTACATCTGACTGCTAGTCTCACCATAGGTTTCACTACAGGTCTGCTCACTGTTCTCCTTGCTGGAGGCCCTGACATTAGGAAGCAAAGCCTTGCCTTTACAAAGATGGCCCCCTCCACAGAGAAACAGTGCAGAGCAAGGCATGGTAAGTCAGTAATT